CAAAATGCTACTGACCTCGCGCTCTGAGCGACGAAGGTCACCGCGAGTTCTCTGGGTCGTGCGATGTCCACACTTGTGGTCCAAGAGCACCATCTCTGGCTGTGTCTGGTTGATATGAGGGACGCCGACAAAGTTCGGTTCCTTAATGCCCGTGTCCCAGACCGGCCTCTTCGGCGACGCGGTCGAGATCTTGGCCCAGCAGCTCTCGGCTACACAGAAGCAGACTGAGGCGGGTCGTCACACCCTGCCCCGGCGGGCAGCTGCTGCCTCCACCCATCCACCGGCCGCAGCGCCCCAGCCTGCTCGGAGCCGAAGGCGGCCCCCTGCGTCCGCACCTGCTCCCGCGCCACAAACCGACGTGACTCGAAGTGACCGACTGAAAGGGAACATCTCGGTTACTTATGTAACCCTCGTTCCCTGAAGGAGGGAACAGAGACGTCACGTCCTGTCGCCACGGCTGCTGTACCACCGCTGAGCGGCCGGGTCACCGGCTCGGCTCCTCAGTGAAAAACTAGTATGCATTGCACCGGCTGCCTTTTTATGCTCACGCTGTGATCAGCGGCAGCTGGATGCAATCATCACATGCCAATGTGCATTGGCTTGTTTAGTTTACACTCGAAGTGGATTGGTCTCTCTAAGCGAGATCCCAATTCGTTGGTCACCGACGTGACGTCTCCGTTCCCTCCTTCAGGGAACGAGGGTTACATACGTAACCGAGACATTACCTCTCCAATCATACACAAAATACATTAAATCCCACCCGATGGTAAGTGAGATAGCAACTGACCCACATACTGTATACCAAGGCAAATTTGAAGGCATCTTGCTGTTTGGCCCAAAGTAGTGCATTGATTACACTTCAGCTAATTTTTGTTTGGGTCTTAAAGGCAAAACTGGCCAAATAAACTGAACTGACATTCAGTATCATTAACCATAGTTTCCAGGCAAATGTTAATTATAATCCTCCCAAATGGATTTATAATATCTGCATTTTTCAAAGGTGGTCCTTTATAAGTTGTCATTTTGTCAACATGCAAAATACCATCCACTGGACATGAATTCTATTACACCAGCTGCTTAGGTGACTCAGTGTAAAATGCATGTCAAATGACATTCAACATTATGAACTACATCATTGTAAATGCTAAGAAAGTACATATTTCATGGGACAAAGAAATTTTACAGTAATTTTTAACAGACATTAATGTAATCTAATTAATGTGCATCTGCCTGTATAATTTAGCCAGAATCAACTGTCTTCTCCCCAGGTTGGCCGTTTGGAAGCATGGTCTGCAAAATGAGCGGTATGGTCCAGGGCATATCAGTCTCAGCCTCCGTTTTCACCTTGGTTGCCATAGCTGTTGACAGGTAATGTCATGGTAATATCATCTTATCCCTCAGCTCAGGCATTAATGACGCATTGTCAAAAGATCATATGACTGGCAATAGCTATTTAAAAAATAGTTAAGTACCATTTAGACTTGAATATTTTAAGAAATGGTTCTCAGCCTTTGTGACTCGAAGGCCTCTCATTATCTAACACAATGTTCCAAGCCCCCATATAAAGGCTATTTGTGGTATTTCTGTTTACATCTTTATTTTATGTGTTTTAATTGCATTTTATGTTTTAATTGCATTTTGCATATATTAAAGGAATAGTTTAGCAAAAAAAAAAAAAACAATTGCTGAAAATGTACTCACCCTCAAGCCATTCAAGAGGGTTGGTGAGTTTGTTTCTTCATCGGAACAGATTTGGAGAAATTTAGCATTACATCACTTGCTCATCAATAGATCCTCTGCAGTGAATGGGTGCCATCAGAATGAGAGTCCAAACAACTGATAAAAACATCAGAATAATCCACAAGTAATCCACATGACTGCATGTTTGTAATAAACAAATTTATCATTAAGATGTCTTTACCTTTAAACCATTGCTTCTGGCCAAAATACAAGTCCATAATCTGTAATAACATTTTCTCCAATATTATGCATACAGAACTTGTATTTTTACCATAATCAGGGGTTTTAAGTTAAAAATGTCTTAATGATGAGGTTGATTATTACAAACATGCAGTTTTTTGCTTCACAAGACATTAATTGATGGATTCGTGTGGATTATTGTAATGTTTCTATTCAATTCGTTTTGGACTCTCGTCCTGACAGCACCCATTCACTGCAGAGGATTCACTGATGAGCAAGTGATGTTATGCTAAATTTCTCCAAATCTGTTTTAATTAAGAAACAAACTCTTCTACATCATGGACTGAGGGTGATTACATTTTAAGCTAATTTTTATTTTTGGGTGAACTATTCCTTTAACAACAATATATTAATTTAAACACTTAATTCATCCTTTGGCCCCCATGGAAGTTTGCAAAAGTCCCCTGTTTGAGAACCTCTTATTTAAATGATTTTGTTGTGTTTAAAACTAGAAAATATTTGGCCTCATTTATGAAACATTAATATGACTAAGTTATGCCATTCATGAAATCATTTTACTTAAATTGTTGAATTCAGTTCACTTAATGTAACAATTCAGTCCACTGAAGGCGAGCGTAGTGAAGAACCCAAGTGCAGTTTATTTATAAAGGTGATCCAAACATCCAAACAATAAATCCAAGACTAGAAACACAGACTTGACAAGGCATGAACAGACTTGACATGAACAGACTAGACTAGACTAGACTCACCAACAGCGGGTTACAACATCAATACACGACGAGAGACAATGGCAACATGAGGGCTACTTATAGCAGACAAGAGGGTCACATGACAAGAACAAACCAATGGGGAACAAGACACATGACTAAGACAACCAATCAGAACATGACACAAAGAACAGAGGAACCAATGGCATGAATACATGAAGGCAAGGGAAGCATAACACAAACAGGGACCATGAACCAATTACAAAATAAAAGACATGAAAACATGAACATGAAACAAAACCCAAACACCAAACCCCACATTACATATCCCCCCCTCTAAAGGCGGCTCCAGATGCCCAAACAAACATAAACAAAAGCAGGCAGAGCGGGGGGCCATGGCGGAGCAGGCAGAGCGGGGAGCCATGGCGGGGCAGGCAGAGCGGGGAGCCATGGCGGTGCAGGCAGATCGGGCAGCTATGGCGGAGCAGGCAGAGCCGGGAGG